TTCTCTTACTTCTGACTGGAAGCGTTGGCTGTTGGATTTATCAACAGTGATAGCATATTCCTCCCTGCTTTGCCTGCTCTCTGCCTCTATTCCCAGATCTTCCTGTGGACATGGGGAGCGTCTCCTGGCTGAGGAAAACTCTCTGGAAGGCTTATGAGGGCTCTCAGCCTGGGCAGCTGCAAGTTCATATCCCTCAAAAGGCACACTAGTAACTTGGGTTGGAGAGTATTTCTGAACTGGTGAAGCTTCACGACCCGTTCTATCAGGAGTAGATTTTAAATCATAAGGCCTTTCAATCGGCACATCCGCATGGTGCAGCGCATGCTGTAAACCAGCACGTGTAGGAGAATGCTTTCTTATAGAGGAAGACTCAGGAGGAGATGGCTCGTATCCAGTGGCTTGTTGAAGAGGTGAAGGTTTTTTTGTTGGTAAGGCTCCACCAGCAAGAGTTATATGTGGAGGTGGAAGGTCACTGGGGTGGGTGCCACTATGATGGGGTGAACTATCAAATGGTGGAACATTGGAGTCAAATGGCAATCCAGAGTCAGGTTGTTTGCAATGATTGTCCAAAGCCCACTCAGACTCCATTTCAGCTACTTCCTCTTGTTCGACAACATCTTGTTGCCATTTTAGGATGCGCTGAGCCAGTGCTTCCTCCTCACTTACAAAGTACTCACTGTCCCTCTGCAACCTGGTCTCACGACCCTCTGTCAGCAGCTCACCAGTGGGTGGCCACTGCATGCTATCACCCTGCTGATCTTGGAAACCAGCAGGAACTGGCTCACTCAAAAGGAACTTCTCTTTGGCTGTTTTTCCTGGGGAAGGTATCTTGCTGCGGACAACTTCTGGTTGTGGAATTGATTCTGGAGCAGAAGCCTCTGCAACATCTCTTCCAGCCTCAGTCGTCCTCTCTGCTTGGAGCGGTGAGTAACCCTCTACCCAGTCAGACTCAAGTTTCACAGGTTGCTCTTGTTCCATCAAAACATCCTGTTGCCATTTCATTATGCGCTGAGTCAAGGCCTCCTCTTCACTGACAAACTTCTCACTCTCGTTCTTCAGCTCAGAAATGTTCTCTCTTGACAGTTGGAGCTCACGTTCTTCTCTTGTCTTCTCAAACAACATCTTCCCTGCTCTGGCTGATTCAGCTTCCACTTCTGCTGCTCTAGCTTTTATTCTGGGTGACTTCTGTGCCGGCATGACTGATGCCTCAGTTTCCAAATCTCCTGGTCTGGCTTTAAGCAAGGAGGCAGGTGTTTTGTCCTGTTCTACTCTACCTTTTACTTTAGGTGACCTGGGGGTTGACATGGCAGCATTGTTTAGAGTTGCTCTTTTCTCCAACTCCTCCTGCTTTGTGTAAATGTGACCCTCAGGCTCTATGTACTGTGTTTCTGCCGACATGGGCAGATCAGTTTCAGGGCAGGGAGTCTCCTCCTCTGACATTCGCATGCCTTGCTGCCATTTCCTTACCCGAAGGGCCAGGAGTTTTTCTTCACACTGCATCCGTTCAGCCTCCAGGCTCTTTTCATACTGAGCTCTCAAAGACTCCCCTGAACCCTCCTCTTCATATGGCTCAACTGGTTCTGTTGCAATGTGATCTGGTGTTACAGCTTCACCAAGGAACCTCTCTTTGATAGATTTGACTTCCCTTTGTCTGGGTGACTCTCTGAGTCTGTCCTCTGCCCTGGCTTTTGCTCTAGGCGACCACTGTGCTTCCACTTCTGCTGCTCTAGGTCTTATTCTGGGGGATTTTTGTGCCAGCATGAGTGGTGCCTCACCTTCCGGTTCTTCTAATCTGGCTTCTACTGTGGCTGACTTTGTAAGCAAGGAGGCAGATGTTTCCACTTCTTCTACTCTGGCTTTTACCTTAGGTGATTTGGGTGTTGATACAGTTGCAGCTTCAGGATCTGCCAACTTTGCCTTCATTCTGGGTGATTTATGGATAGAGGGCATGGCCTCAGTTTCTCCAGTTACTCTTTTCTCCACAACTTCCTGCTGCGTGTAAATGTGTCCTGCAGGCTCCATGTACTGCATCTCTGACGGCATAGGCAAATCCGTTTCAGGGTGAAATGTCTCCTCTTCTGACATCCTACTCCCTTGCTGCCATTTCCTGATCCGCAGGGCAAGGAGTTTTTCCTCACATTCCAGGCGTTCAGCTTCAAGGCTCTTCTCATACTTAGCCCTCAAAGACTCGCCTGCACACTCCTCTTCATATGGCTCAATTGTTTTTGTTGTTGCTCTGTCTTCTGGTGTTACTGTTTCACGAAGGAACCTTTCCTTTCTAGGTGTGACTGGATTAGGCCTGGATGACTCCATGAGTGATACCTCCTCTTGAGCAGGCACAAGTCTAACAGATTCCCTGCTTTCAGTGTACATTGTAGTTTCTGGGTATCTTTCAGAGTATGTGACTTCAGGGTGACATAGCCCGACCTCAGCTTCCACCTTTTGGTCAGCAACCACACTGTGATGTTCACTTACCATCTGCTTGAATTTAACATCTGTCTGAGATTGACCAAAACTTTCAACTTTTTTATCCACCAGTGTATCAACCAATTCACCTCTCATGATCTGAATGGCCCTGGTTCTGGACTGAGGCTCAAATGAATGCCTCACACGACGCGCCCTGCTTGAAGTTTTACCATGAACCTCCCTATGAGTCTCCCCCAAATCAAAGGGTCGATTGAAATGCTGGACATCAGGCAGAGAGGCAGGCTTGACCCTGAGCTTCTCCACATATTCTGCGTAACTTGATTCGCTGGCAACGGATTCTAACTCAAACTCAGAGGAGGACATGGTAGAGATAGAGAGCCTCTTCTTTTGTTTGACAGCTTTTTGAAGTGTGGTAAGTTTAGTTCTTACCTCGTTGTGAAGACTCTCAGTGTCGCTGAACCTCTCGCTGTATCTGTCACTGCACCTGTCACTAAATTTGTCACTGAACCTTCCACCGGTGCGCCGGTCACAGTAGATATCACTGAATCTGTCATTAAAGTGCTCAGACCGGTCAAACATGGGGGGAGGAGATGGGGCACGCTCAGAGGCAGTCTCCAAACGTTTGGATTCTTTCTCTGCCTCTTTTTCTTTTGAATGGGAATCAGACTTAAAGTACACAGTACGCACAAGAGAGTTCTTAGATCGAGATCTTCCCTGATGGACTTTGGACATCTTGTCAAATGGAGACCCTACACACCTGAGGTCGACCCTAATCTTCCTCTCTTTCCTCTGCTCTGCCATGGTGTCTACACTTTCATGGGCTTTGGCAGAGCGTCTAACAAATCCCAGGTAGTTAGCAGACTGTTCTTCCCTCAGTGACACCAAAAGTGATGCTGTGGACTCAGCAGAACCCTCCGTGTTTATTGCCATTACCTTATAACTGCCCGAGTCCTTCTCTTTGATACTATCAATAACCAGACTGGTAACGTGTATGTGCATTTTGCTGTCGGTACAGATCCTTCGCCTACGCTCTTTGGGAATAGATTTATTATTATGAAACCAAAGAATTGTTGGTGGAGGGCAAGCAACCAGTTTACACTTCAATTCCACTGGTTCTCCCTCCATAACTGATTGAAACTTGAGTTTCTTGGTGAAAGAAGGTTTAATGTTCTCCGCCCATGAAGTTATGGAGGAGGTTCTGCTGGAGCAGCGATTGGCCGACACCAGGCCATGATCTAGGAAGTCCTCTGTGTCGGAGAAGGCTCCTCTTAGCTGTCGAGCGCCGGGGAGTTCTGCGCTGCTGCGTGATGTTCCTTCTTTGCTTTCATGATAAAACAGCTCTGCAAAAAGAAACAGACAACTGTCAGAACAACACAGCCTCCAGGGGTAAAAAGAAGGAAAAGGATTTGAATGAATTATTAATGGAAATATTAAATGCATGCTGGGAGTCACAATGCCATAAGAAATAATTTCACTCACCATATTTGTTCGAATAAACGCAAGACTTGATTCTTTTTATTAGAAACCTGCAGGAAGTTTTGATCCTTCGTCTGTGGAAATTTCTTCAAAACATAAATTATTTTATCATTATTAAAAAAAAGCATAATTCCAAGATGGGCTACTAACATTCACTTGTTTTGCTTTTTGATAATTGCTTCGGCTTTATGCTAATATATTCCTTACCTGACTTGCAGACAGGAGAATAAACGCCCTTTCTAATCCTTAAACTTAAGAGGAAATGAATGATGCACAAGTATCAATGAGAAGCAAAGCTCTCCAAAACATATCTTAGATTCCAAAACAAATGAAGCTGTAAAATTGGGTGAGAAGGCGTTTATTCGAACTAATATAGTTTACTGGTGTTATTTAGAATGCAAACCACAGGAATCACATCCCACTATCTGCAAGCCAGGCTAAGAAATATTTTGCAGGAGGAAGGTATCAGTTCCAGATGCAATAAACCTCCATATCTTTTAAAGGGCATTTCAAGTCCGGAAGCTTTAAAAGATACATATCCTGCGATTTTTCTGGGAAAAGATCAGAGGAACCTTCATGCCACAACGAAATGACGTTTGGATGCAAACCGCAAGTGTCAAAAACTGGTACAAGCAAGTGCTACCAGTGCTCACCTGGGGGAAACCATGAAGTATTATGAGAATAAGAGCAGGTGGAATAATAGAGACAATAGGAATTTTCTATCAAGAAACATTGAGACCACATGCAACTGTGGAAATTCAAAGATCACTTAAAGGGACAGTTCAACATAATGACACTTACAAATTCTAAAAGCAGTCTGTGAATGCAGGCCGACCATAATCCGTAATACATGCACCCACACATTATTTGTTTCCTCCACTTTCTCAGCAGTTTGTCCACTCAAAAACCACCTTCAATGAACCAAAGCTTGGATCAAAGTCACCTGCTGACAGACTACTTTCGAAGTGAACAATAGTAAAAAAGAGTAAAACAGAAATCTGGTTAAACTGTCCCTTTTCAACTCTGCTTGCTTCTCGTGTCAAGAAACAGTCTGGTGTTTTTGATATATGGTGGTCAGGAATCTGACGTAACCTTACCTTTGACTTCTTGCTCAATCTTGGCTTCAATCTGCTCTCTCATGTGAGTCACTGTGATGGAAAGAAATTACATAAATTTAGATTTTATCACCACACATTGATCCCATGAGTTGGTTTTCAAACCTTTAAACATTCTTTCACATTTAGACGAAATTTCTGCCTATCCAATTTTTCTTTGCTGGACTGTGTTTAGGTACCAGCAAAGTTGATCCATAAATTAGAGGAAACTTAAGCTATTGTCACAAAATGTTTCCATTAACAGAACTTCCAAACGTATAGTTGTGATCTACTGGAACTACAGCAATGAGGTAAACTATGACCTAAAACAATGAGAGTCAAACTTCATTCTTGACCATAGAAATGGTAGTTTGACAAATAAAAACTTGACTCAAGTTCCATTTACAAGCTTTTCCAGAACTTGAATATCCCACAGTCTTTGACTGCAGATGCTCTTCATTCTGCACTTTACCATGTGCAAACTATTTGTACATTTTGTGTATACAAAGTAATAATGCAACAAAAATGACCTATAACAAAGCTAATATAATGATCACTTGACCAAGGTTTTAAACTTGGGTCAATGATTGTTTTGTGAAAGAGCTTTTTCCAAGAATTATTTTTTCTGGCTCATATAATCAATGCTTTGATTTGTACCTTGCAGTAGTAATGACTTTTAATTGCCTTTAACCTAGAGCAATAATGGCTTTAAAGTACTCAGTTGATGGACCAAAATTGAGAGATTCCAATAGATTTGAGTCCATTTTGTTCCATTTAACACATACTGTTCCAGAAACTAGATTTTGAGTTGAGAAATGAACAATTTCATTACACAGCACAGAGGAAGAAAATGAGTCAGACAAAGAAGGGTTTCCTGGAGAATGGAGGTACAACAGAGAGGTTACACGTGTGAGTTTCATGCATTCATGAGTTTTCCTGTGTGGGAGAGGAAGAGGAGGGTGAGAACGGAGAAGATGAAGGAAAGTGGAGAGAAGAGTTTGTTTTCCCTGGTGGAGAGTTGAGCGACACAGAGGAGTGCTGATAATCCCAGGATTCAAACAAAGTGGTGCATTCATGAGCCAAGTGCTTCGTCTTTCTGGAACTGTGAGGTTAGTCACAGGAGGAGGGTTGAGGGATGTCCCGATCCCATTTTTAATTTCAGGTTCACTTTAGGTTTGAATTTATCCACCAGAGAGCGCTGACAAATTGTGTGTATTTTGGTCACATTAAAGGGATCAATTTTAAAGATGTCTGAGTGCGTTTTATAAAGACGAGAGGGGAAGGGGATACATTGGTATAACCAGCGTTTCTGAGGATTAACGGTATTTAAAATTTTGACTATGCAGCATTTATTTTCTTATTTAGATCCTTTTGTCAACTGGTTTTTACAACATCAATTCAGACCTTCTTAATTACTGAGAATCTTAAATATTTAATTTAATATTTAATATTTATTTAATTTTATAAACTAATATTGGATTATTCTTTAGTGTATTCTGTGTACTATATTCACCTTTTTATTTGAACCTTTTTAGCTTTTTAAGAAAACAAAACAAAAAACATTATTCACATTCACATATTTGCATTTTTTCTGAACTGAGATAATTTCTCCATACCTGATGCTCTCTCCTCTGGCTGCTGATGTTTTGGGGTATTTTAGAGTCTTGATGTGTCTCATAACGGTATTGTGTTGGATTGATCTTAGAAACTGATCTTAGAGGCAGTTTCCAACAGTTCTTGGGTTGTTTAAAGGTTCTTTTAAAGATGAAATCTTGTGAACATGATTGTCTATTAGCTATTAT